TTAAGTTTCCACGCTCGGCTGCCAACTTATAATAACAGAGCAGCAGGCAGCAGGGCAGGAGTCTCAGAACCCACTCCATACGTGGGTGCAGGCGCTGTGCTCTGAAACAAAGCTTGGAAGGTCTTGTTGCAGGCCTTTTAGCCTTCACAGGGGCTGTGCCTAGACCACTAGGAGCCGGGAATTAAATACCCTCGCATCCACTTGTCTACCATTAATGTTATCATCTTCATCAAATGCTTCCTCTTGCAGCGGTGTCTGCAGAGAAATAAATAAGTAAAGCTCCTCCACATCTTGTTCCTGCCCAGGATCCCGAGGCTAAAGTCCGGTCTGAGTTGAATTACCCGGAGCACTGTCTCCTTCCTTCCCTCCTTGTTCCCCGAGCTCTGGGCAGGAACAGAGAGTGAACTCTCTCCAGGACATTACATCAGTTCCCCCTTTTCCCTTGGCATGAGAATGCTTCCGCCCCTAGCCCTCCCTGACTTCCTAAGGCTTGCCCCAACTGCACACACACGCCCCAGCCTTGAAGCCAGGACATCAAAGAGAACCTGCAGGTAACCCAATTATTGACCAACGCCTGCGTCTCTTTTGTAATTTAGAAGACAGGAAATGGGTTCCGGAAATGGGATTTTTTTTTCTTCTAGTACACACTCTCCATGATCTTGTTAAACCTTAGTAATCTTTTAAGTAAGGAGAGCCATCTTGTAAGCAAAGAGTGATATTTAGAAAATTTACTTTAATTTACTAAATTACTTTTTAGTAATCCCACTCTGGAAAAAAAACATAAAACATAAATTTCTTTATGGGTGGCAGAATTTAGGACCTTATTAGCTATGAAAAGAATATTTACCTTGTCACCAAAAATCACTTCTGCCATAAGATTATTAAATCTTAGACATTAAGATTTAATTTGACATAAGATAACATTGTTGAATCAGTACCGGAAGTAAAATGAGGCAAATGGTACGTACCATTCCAACCTGTATCTAGGCAAGATTTTCCAGGACTTCAAAAAAAAAAAAAACGTTTAGATGGACATAGTAGTTCATGTCTATAATCCCAGCGCTTGTGAGGCGGAGACTAGAGGATTGCTTTGAGTTTGGACTGCTACAGTGTAAAACCCTATTTCTTAAAGAAAGAACCAGGCAGTGGTGGCACATGCCCTTAAAGCCAGCAGTCAGTAGGCAGGAGCAAGGGGATCTCTGTGAGTTCAAACCCACCCTGGACTACAAAGGAAGTTTCAGGACAGCCAGGGCTACACAGAGAAACCCTGTCTCAAAAAGGGAAAGAAAGAAAAAAGAATGGAAGAAAACAAAAGAACAACACTTTCATAATAGAAACTATCAAAACCCTACAGAGAGGTAGAGAGGACCCTATAGGGAAGCAGCCTGTGCCCACAGCCACCGTCAAGAATCAGTCACCACTGGACTGTTTCCCCCATACCTCACCTGGCTGTTCGCCTCCCAGTGTGTCATATCCCCCATAAATACTTCTGGATAGGCCTAAAAAGATATAGGCCATTTATATAGTCAGAAGGGCAGAACCCAGGGCCTCAACTCAACCCCAGTAGCTCCTCCGAACACCATTTGGAAAATGTTGTATACAAGTGTGAAGCAACCTCTAAAAAGGAACCTCGAGATTGCAAGTGACTGGTGGATCTCCCTCTTTAGAGCAGGTAGTTATAATGTAACAACCGCATAATGCCTGTTGGCTGGCTTTGACTGTCCTTTATAAGAGGCTTGGATACAAAGTTTAGATTTGGGTTACTTTTTTTTTAAAGTTGGTTGTTTTTTGTTTTTCCAGATTTTGGAGTGTTTACTTACTGTGAGACAGGTTGGTGATGAGGCCCACGTCTAAACATGAAATCTATTTGTACTTCATACATACACTACACGTGTAGCCTGAAGGAAATTTGATAGAAAATTTTTCAATTGTTTTGTTGACGAAACAAATTTCAATGATGCGGCATTTTCCACGGGTGGCGCTTTATAGTCCCACTCAGCAAGTTTCTGATCTTTTCTCCGGCCGCCCCCGTGCTGCATTTAAGATTTCTACCCCACACAGCGCTGATTTTTGAGACAAGGTCAGGCTTAAGTTCAGTATCTAGTCCAAGCTGGCTTTAAACTGCTGGCTGTCCTCCTGCCTCAGCTTCCCAGGTGCTAACATTACAGGCATATACACCTCCACACCAGCACAGACTGTCTCTTTTCTCATGACTTTCAGTGGTTTTGCTGACAAGCGCCTGCTGGGGTGTGATTTCCATTGTGTATAAGCAGCTTGGGTTTGCCGAGCTTTGGCGTTTCCTAGTTTGTTTTTGACATTGTGACTCTTGTCACTTCAGTTTGGCCATTATTTCTTCCCCTTCCCCTCCTACCCGTTCTTTCTGTACTCTAGGCCTATTGGGCTAGTTGATGTTGTGATTTGTGGTTAATTTTATTAAGTCTCTAATCCTTTCCTCTCATCTCCAGTATGCTAGGAAGTCTGTCTAGTCTACTCTTACATTTCATAGAGTGTGCTTTTTGGTTCTAGAATCTTCATTCTTTTTTCCCAGGTGTCAGCTTTCTGTTTTGACAGTTCCTGTATGTCATTACTCATTGTGACCGATGTCCCTGGAATACTTTATAGCTACCTTAAATTCCTTTAAAGTCTCTTTAGCTAATCCCATCACAGTCGCAGAATCTGTTTCTGTAGGTGGCTTTTTAATAATAGATCACATCTTCTAAGTCTCGAAAAAAAAAACCCTGTTGATACAGAAGTTTATAGACTGTAGAGACTTTGGGTTTCGTTATATTCCTCTGAAGAGTATAGACTCATAGTCTTTCAGGCAGTTTATTTAGTGGCCAGTCACTTCCAGTGTGTGGAGGCCAATTTTCATTTCACTGCAGCAAGTCTACCTCAGTTTTGCCTTTAGCCCTCAGCAAGGCTCCTTTGTTCGGTAACACAGGATCTGCCGCACCAACGTGCGCGGCTATGCTTGGGTAAAGGACAGCCTGGGGTATTGACAGAGCCGTTTAGCTTAATGAGCCTCAATCTCTGACCTGCTTCTCCACTCCAGTGGCCAGGAGCCGAGACTTCTCATAATTTCCAGCCCCACAGCCATGGCTTTTGAGTCTCCCCTGTGTGTGTGTTGTTCAGGAGTCAGGCAAGAACTTGAGAGAACATTGGTGTGCTGGGTTAGTAGCCCTTCTCTCTGGCACTCTTCCCTTGATGAGGCTTCCACACGTTTCTGCCCTCTGGGATCCACTTGTGTCCTGGACATTCACATGGCTTTCTCTTGTGCTGTACTGATGAGAATATTCTTGTGGGAAAACTTCCCAGACCTTGTTCTATGAAGAATAAAGACCCTTGTGTTTTTGTCTGTTTGTCCAATATCTTTACACGGCTTTTTTGAGTGTCTTACGTCCAGTTTCTATAAAGTCTGACCGTAGGAGATTTGGTCTGAGGGAGCCACTGCCATCATTGCTACTGGAACCTCTCTTCCTCTTGCCAGATGAATGGTGGCAGGTTTTAAATCCCTTACTATCCCTTTTCTGTCTGACCATATTGCCTGAATACCTGTCTCCAGCAAAGTATTGAACTGTCTCTCATTCTTTCTGCCAGTTGATTGGTACTCTGCTATTTAGTGATTTAGATTATTAAACAAGTGTCCTATGGTATTTGTCCCAACGAGTAGGGGTTTTTTGAATTTATGGCCACAGATCCTACAACAGTCATGAAGCAGATGCTTTCCCTTCCTCTGACTCTCGTGGGCCACAGTCAGTGTCTCTTTTCTTCACTGTCTCACATGATTAGGGAGATGTAGTAGGATTTTTTAAAGAAAAAAAAATACTCCATTTTCATGCCAACCCAGTATAAGCCTTAGGGGAACCCCACTTCTTTCTCTGGCTGCTGACCCTGGTAGAGGCCCAGTTCCCCTTTTCAGGTTCGTCATATAGCCAATGTGAAATCTTTGGCATCGTTTGACACTTAGAACTGTGGATGAGTCGGTGACCAGAGTAGGGATCAGTAGAAGTGCTCATTCTTCTGCTGAGACTGTCCCAGGAACACACGCGGCCAGAGTACCCATGAAGAGAGACGTGAGCTCTTATGTTTTTATGGGCAGATACCTGACCTGAGCTTTAGTGGGGAACCCAGTTCACCTGTGAGTTGGTCCATGTTCAGCCCAGCCCCACCGCTACTTCAGTTCTTTACTTCTGGTGTTGCCCTCAGCAGCGTGTACATTCAAGTTCAAAGGAGAGCATGTGTTGTTGGGGTGCCTGTGTACCCCATCTTGCCTCTACTAACTCTGAGCCCAGGTAATATCAGTACATTCAAGGGCAAGCCTCTAAAAATTCTCTCAAGTACAAAATCACCAGTCAATAAAAGAGGAATTGTTGCTGTGGAGAGCGGGTTTCTGGATGATTTTGTACCCTGGGGTCTGTGTGGCACAGAGTGCCGTAACACATGCAGATGTTAGACTCTGATTCTAATCCTTTACCCATTGGCAGCATGGCATGGGGTAAGCTGCCTGTGACTTGGTTTTATCATCTGTTAATCAGGAATAATAGTGTCGCTCCCTCTTAAGAATGTTCAAGCTTTAAATAATAAAACCCAACACCTAGACTAGAGTCATCAGCAGTCGTCATTATTAGCAGTAGTGACTCGCCTGGAGATGAACAAGATGGAAATGTAAGCTCGCCGGAGCCTCTGGAGAGGGAAGCTTCAGAACCCCTCCATCTGAAGCCTGCACAGAGGAGTCGAGCGAGGACGAGATACAGAAGGGAATCGGGTTCCTTCTGGTTATCAGGCACTAACAGATACTGGATGGAATGTCGATGGGCATTCCTAGCTTGTCTGGGGTAGGAAAGCCATTTCAAGTATGTTTTGTTTGAGCACAGGGAAAGACACCGGAGTCTGGGTTGCAGGAGCTCTGTGGACCAGTATAGCAGCCCAGAGAGCAATTTGTGAGATCCCAGGACAGCAGGTTTACCGCCTTCTGTGATTGTCTTTTCTTTTGCCCACAGATAACTGTGTCCAGAGGACGCCCAGGCCACCTGCAGAGAGTGTGCACCACAACCCTCCCACCATTGAACTCTTACATCGCCCTAGGTCACCCATCACCACAAACCACAGGCCTTCTCCTGACCCCGAGCAGCGGCCTCTGAGGTCCCCTCTGGACAACATGATCCGCCGCCTCTCGCCAGCCGAGAGGGCCCAGGGGCCAAGGCTCCAGCAGGAAAATAACCACCAGGAATCCTACCCCCTGTCAGTCTCTCCTATGGAGAATAATCACTGCCCAGCCTCCTCGGAGTCCAACCCGAAGCCCTCCAGCCCCTGGCAGGAGAGCACGCGAGTGATCCAGCTGATGCCCAGCCCCATCATGCACCCTTTGATCCTGAACCCCCGGCACTCGGTAGATTTCAAACAGTCCCGGCTCTCCGAAGATGGGATGCACAGGGAAGGGAAACCCATCAACCTGTCTCATCGGGAGGACCTGGCTTACATGAACCACATCATGGTCTCCGTGTCCCCGCCTGAAGAGCACGCCATGCCCATCGGGAGAATAGCAGGTGAGTGAGCTTGGCCCCCTCACAGCCGGCCCTTCGCCAGGCGGCAGAAGCCAGGTCACACGGCGCCCGGTGTGATGTGCCTGCAAAAATTTGGGGAGGACAAGGGAGGCTTCTGCTTGAATGAGACGGAGTCCCTAATGGCCTGCTTAATGAGCCACTGGGAAGAGAGGAGTTAATGAGCCTCAGAAATGTTAAGGAATGAATGTCCTCCATTCAGATCCCAAGGAGAGTCACCTCAAATCACGGCCAAGCGAAGAAAACATTTAAAATCAAAGGTTTATGAGCGCTCTAATGGCCCCATCCTGAAGTTTCCAGGTGCTAATTAATAACCAGGCACAGTGTAAAGAACCTTTGTCTCAGATTCGTGCCTGTAATTCTGTCCCGTGGGCAGCTCCTTTCCTGTGTGCTGCTATCCCCTGGGGAAGGGAGCTGAAATTGGGATCAGGGGTATTAGGCAGGTGTTGCTGGTGGTTTAGACGGAGCAAACCCACTCCCACATTCTTTTTCAGTGAAGTTAGAGAAACCCAAAGGGCTCTCCCAACAAGAAACCAAGGAGGGTGGGTGAGAATCTACCAATTAGAATTCTGCTAGCCTGCCCCCCAGCTTTCATGGAGCTGTCCAGGAGGCCTGTGCAAGTTTGGCAAGGTGAAGCCTTTTCCTAGAGGTTGTTTCTCCGTTCATGAGACATCACGGGGTACCTGCACATACAGATAAATGCATCCAGTATACCATATACAACACGATTTAACACACAGCGTCCTCTCCCTTGTAGAATTGCAACACGCGCGTGCACCCACACACAGAACAGGAGAAAACGGGTACTAAACGTGTGACTCGGTAGTTGAATACACGTCCAGCGTGCATAACGCCCCAAGGTTTGATCGTCAGCCCCAAGGTTTGATCGTCAGAACCACAGCAGCAACAGTAAAACGGCAGCTGTCTATGACTTGCTTGCCTTTAAAAAGCTATGAAACTTGGAGTGTGCTTGGGATTGAATTCCAAACAGTCCTATGAGTTTAGTGATGGGGGGTGTAGAACATGCTGTAAAATGGGGCTAGCCAAGAGGTGTTTGGTGGGTAGGTGGGGGAGTGGAGGCATGGGGGTGCGTGTCGTTTCTTTGCTTACACATGGGGTTGGCTTGCTATAATAATGAAGAAACTATAGGATGGATCAGGGGCAAGAAAAGTGGGGGAAAATCTTATGGAAACATGCATTTTCCCAGACAACTGGAGGAAAAGGATGAGGGATGGAAACGGCTGTAGCTGCTTACTGTCTTGGTTCCTTCCCTACCCGGGGTTCTCAGATCCCGTCACTTGTGTTCAATTCTCGGGATAGCCCTTTTGAGGTTGAATCCCTTTGGTGTACATGGCTCATTGGTACAGGGGAAACCACAAAGCAGATCCAGCTCCAAAGAGACCAAGGCTCTCCCCAAGGTCAGATGAGGGTTGGGTGGCCTTGCTGTCCCTTGGCTGTTGTCTGCAGTGCTGTCCTTGAGGGCCTGGCTGCCTTGCCAAGGTCTGGCATGTCTGCTTTCCTCTCCCCACAGACTACTTGAGAATCCGAAGATAAACATATAAGTCCAGAATGACGATGTACGTGAGAGAAGGGGAAGGGAGAGGGGAAGGGAGGGAGGGGTGAAAAAAATTGTCCAGACATACATAGCGTATGCCAAGGTTTACCCTTGTAAGCTGCACATCTGTTTCGTTGAATCCTACCACCACTTGTAGAACCATATAGTCAAACATCAGTGGTATGATGGATGTAGGCTCACCAGTTAAGATGCAACTAGAGATACTAGTAAGTGATCTTAGTCAGCCTCACAAAGGCAGAGTATCATCTTATCTTGCATTTGTGGGTCTTCAATCTCATATAGATACTTAAACTCATATAGGTACAGGTGTGAAAATATAAGAAACTATGTAGGGTAACAAACGAAATGAACAGGAAGGGAAGGGGGAAAGAAAGGGAAGGTAGCAGGTACGGTGGACTATGCTCAGTTACATTATATACTTGTACAAAAGTGGCCTTATGCTACCTGGTGTAATACAAATAAAGCCTTTGGAATATTCAGTCAAGTGATAAACCTTGGTATCCACAGAGACTTTGTCTTGAGGACACTTAGAAAGACCTGGTTTCTGTTTTTCCTTGCTTCTAGGAAGACAGGATGTTCTAGAAGATAATTTCAGGTAGGACCAGATCTTCCAGGGACAATGCATTCTTTCCTACAGATGACTGATTGAGTCCCATACAGACGTATATTAATATTCTTATGATTTTTGTAAATATTGTAAAATCTCTAAATATATACATTACCTACTGTACCCAAATTGCAGATGAGCCACTTTAACTGACAGGCATTGCTTTTGCAGGGATGAAATGCCGGGGTGGGGTTGGGTGGGCACTGAGGTCCTGTTCTGCAAGTCCACAATCTGATGCTGAGTCTTGGTTCTGCAGAGAGGACAGACAACCCCACCCTCCTCTTCCCATTTGTAGGATCCCCCTACCCGTGTCCCCCATCCGTCTATCTTCCTGGGCTCCTAGAGCTTAGGAAAAGAGATTCCGTTTGTTGAAGGTCAAATTCTGTGAGTCACTGCTGTTTCTGCTGTAAGGCCTGTCTACTGAGCGCCAGAGACGCCTTTACAGACGCTCTGCGAACCCGCTGTTAGATGAGAAAAGGTAGCTCCGTGAAGCCCTTTAATTGAGCACAGCACAGGAACAGATGAACGTGCTGCCAGATGTCACACTGATGAGTAACTTAGCTGGAGGGTGTAGACAGAAACACTACTCACCAGTGTGGAGCAAAACACAAACCCAGATTCTTACCAGTCAGATATGATTGGCTTGGGTACGGGAGGATTTAGACCTTCAGACAGGTAAGAGGCTGTGTGCTGCACTCTTACGGGTGGGAGCTCACAGAGGCAAAAGACTCAGTCTTTGACATAAGAGAGCTGAGCTCAGTTCACTAAAAGTAAAGATTGTGATGCATACAGGTCTTAGGATTCCTACTGAGTACTACGGGAGGTCCGGACTGCCTTTCAGGTGGGCTTTAAAGAGTGCTCAACTGGACAGGGTGTGGGGAATCTGCCTTTAATCCCAGCACTTAGGAGGCAGAGGCAGGCAGATCTCTGTGGGTTCAAGGCCAGGCTGGTTAGCATAGCAAGACCTTGTCTCAAAATACAATTTTTAAATAAATAAATAAAAATACTGCTTAGACTGTGGGGAGTAAAGAGAAAGGGGCCATTCTAGATGGAGAAAACTCAGGACAAATACAAGATACGAAACCCCGTGTTCTCTTCTATTTCTAGTAGAGATATAAGGCCAAGAGCTCAAGTCTGTGTGAGTCAATTAAAAAAAAATCACGTTTCATAAACTCTTCTGGAAAAAAAAGGTGAATCATGCAAGTAAAAGACCACATAAGCTATGACAGTTTACCCTGGGTATTAACTATATAAGAAAATTCAGTAGGTGGTTGGCAGTTTAAATACAAGTTAAATCTATTTAAATATAATATGTTTTTATTTTTATTTTGAAGATTATAAGAGGGGTTGTTATTAAGAGTTTGGGGTGCTGGAAAGGTACCTCAGAGGTGGCATGCTTAGGTAGCATGCCCAAGGCTAGTTTAAGAAGCTAGAGAATTCATGGTAGAACATTTCACAGGACAGATTCCTGGGTCCTATTTTTATTGACCAGTCCATGATTTATATAACATTGGACTTCTCTCTGTCCATATTTTCCACTGTCATCAGGAAGGGTTTGGGGAGAGAAGTGGGAAGTATCTGTCAATCTCATCCAACTTTTACCCACATGCAGAAGAAGGCTTACGGTGTGCTCCCCCCCCCCCCCAACCCCCACCCCCGAGTTTCAAAAGCATCGAGCGCATTGGCCGTGAGTACAGAGCTATAGGCTGATGAGAGTGACGTCATGTGGTCCTGGGGGCTAAGTTCCCAGTGTGCACAGTAGCCCCCGACCCTTTAGCTGCAGCTTCAGTTACATGAAATGGGAAATTCCGGAAAGCAGCTATTTAAGTAGCTCACTGTGAAGTGTCATTGCAGTTGTAATATTTTATTACTGATTGCTTTGTCAGTCTCTTGTATGTAATTTATTAATCAGATGCCATCATAGGCATGCGTAGATGGGAAAAATAATACTGTATGCTGTGTGTATTGACTCAGTCAGAACCATGGTTTCCATGGTTTCCGGTACCCACTGCAGACCTTGGAAAGTGTCCTCTGCGGGGTAAGCATCAGGCTTTGTGTTGGAGCCCTTCTTAGGACTAGATGAGCTCACTAGAAATGACTTTCCAGGTAAACCTGAAGGCAGAGATCAGTCATAACAGCCTCAAGTCAGTTTCCTCATTCTGCCCAGAGATTTTCCAGCAAGGATTGGAAGCCTTGGCCAAATCCAGCCACCACCTGATTTTGTCAATAAGTTTATTGGGGATAGCTCCACTTTTGTTAAATGATTGTCTGTGTCTACTTTCGAGCCATAATCCAAGCATTAATACTCCAAGCATGAATTGCTCCAGAGAGCCTATGGCCACAAAGTCTTAAATATTAACCAATTGACCCTGTGCATAAAAAGTGGGGTGCCCCGTGTTCCCCATCACTATTCCCCATGAGCACTCGGTATGCTAAGAACCTCAAGCATAGCATAGACTGATGGATCACAGACCCCATGTTCCCCATTACTATTCCCATGAACAGTCTGGTATGCTGAGAACCTCAGACATAACATAGGCTGATGAAGCAGTCTTGCTGGCAAGGAAATACTTGCACTTGAGGTGATGAGGCATGTCAGAGGCATGTGAAAAGATCAACAACAAATGATGTAAGAGAGTCGACAAGTTCAGGTCTGCAGGCTATGCTCGAGAACAGTACAGAACAATTGCAGCAACATCATTAATGTAAAAAATACAGCTCAGTAACATATATTCTTTGTACATTTGAATTTATAGTCACACATTTGTTCATTTATTTAAAAATTATCCTGTCTTTTCTATG